GACTAAGATAACGGTAAATCTACATGCTCAATCTACGACTAAGAAGAATACCCAAGGAGCTAAGTTATGGGGAAATCTGGATGATTTCGGCTGAGAAGAGAAGTAGAAGAGCCAAAGTATTGGCAATTATGAAACGTGCAAAATTGAGTTTATGTGGATTTTTTTGGTTTTTTATTTTTCATTAATTGAGTTTAGCTGATTTAGCGTTGCAACTTTTTCTATTTGTGAAGAACAAACTAATAAACAAGTATAAAAAACAAAATCTTAATTTGCTTGTATGGTTTAATTTTTATGCGTGATGAAAGTCAAAGTTGTGAAACATTCACTCATTTTTGCTCGGTACTGTATATATATATTAAATGAAATTTGTATCAAGAAAAAAATTCTTTTCATTGCAAATTATTGAAAATTTCAATCGAATATGAGTCAAAAAATGATTAAATTATGACTCGTGGAAGACTCTTTTATGATTAAAAGATGATTCGTGGAAGACTCTTTTATGATTAAAAACAAGAGTCATAAGCGACTCATCAAGAAGAGTCGCGGGTAGGGTACCATTTTCTCCCGACAGAACAGTCTTTTMTGATCAGAAAATGAGCGCACATATGACTGTTTTCAATCATCGCGCGAGTCTTTTAAGACTAACTTATGCTCTGTTAAACGCAAAAATGCTTGCTGGGATATGGCAAATTAATTTGAGGCACGAACTGAATATATAGTTGATGTTTTAAATAAACCAATTTCAAATTAAAGTTTTATTTTTAGTGTCCATCAAAAGTTATTCCTCAATTTTTTGCTGAACAATTTCCAATTAAACTTGGCTAGTTTAAATAACAAACATTTAGCAAACATTTTTCAGTTGTTGAGATAAGGTGTTTACAATTTGAAGGATCACACATATATGTTAAATAAAGTTGAGCGTGTCTGTTTACACAGAAGCACACACATACACACACACACGCAGCAAAAGAATGCGTCCAAGTGTATAGATGATATTAACTCTCGTTCTGTATGTAGATGTAAATACACATAAATAAATACGCTCGAAATTTTCACTTCTGTATATCAAACCATCTGTGGGACATTCCACAAATCAATTTCTCTTATTATTAATTACAATTTTGTTCTACTATGAAACTTTATACAATTGGTATCAATTTTAATATATATACTTTCTGAGATCGACGTGTTCAGACAGTCGTACAGGGCTAAATCGACTCAGAACCTGTAAACTGTATGGTATCGGCCACGCCTTTATTTGCCTGTTACATTTTACAAAGCCATTATACTTTGATTTTCCAATTTCAATGGGTGCAATGATATTGTATAGATATAACATAAATTATGCAGATATAACATAAATTATGCATAGTTAACAGTAGCTGTAAGCTATTAACAGTCTGCCATTAGAAGTGCCCGCTAGAGTCTTGCCAATAATTGAGACAGAATGACATCTTAATTCAAGCTTCATACATACTTCATGCAACAACATTGCAGCCAACAATAGCAGTAACAGGAGAGCATTAACAGTGCGTTTTTAACAGAGCGATGCAAATAATTCGATCACATGAACTGAATGAATGAAAAAATATCAGTATGTATATAGGATTACAGCTGCAACAGGACAAAATTAGCAAAATTCAATATAAGTATAAAAGTTGATGTAAATGAAGAACATGAGAAATTAAACAGTTTAGTTGAGTCAATAAACATGAATTAGCATACAGTATCAATTACATATGGTTAACAGCTGCTGTTATTGATTAACGTGATAAACTGAATGGTGGAACGTGATAAAGCTACAGTTGCTGTAAATGAACAGTACAGTACATCATTAGCTAACAGCAGCAATAAATTATTAGCATGTTAAATTTAACAGTGCGCCCTTAACAGAGAATTGTTTGTGATCTTATGCAGGTACATCCATATAAGAACGATCAAAAATTGAGTTTAACCAAATTAAAGCAATTTCGAGCTATATTTTCTTTCCCATTTGAGCCAAAGCCACTCTATGGAGTTTCCTCCAATTTTTGCTCTCTAAAATGCTCGAACTATGTAATATGTTAAACAAGTTATGTTCGTCTGGCTAAAAGAGAGAGAGAGAGAGAGAAAGAGGAGGGGAAAAAGGTAAATGGCTTGCTTTCGACTTTATACATTTGTCTAGCTTTCAATTTGTCGTATTTATTATTTCGCCGTTGAATTTTTTTTGGAGAACATGCAGCTAGAGCAATCACAATCGGACACACGCACATGGACACGCACACTCACACATGTGCAGATTGGCATGTATATTCACTTACTCATACGTATGCATGAGCGTACTCGCATTCACATTCGCACTCGCACTGAAGTGTGGGATGCTACTTTTGCCGCAGGAAGCGGTCGCAGCTGTGGGTTTTAAAATTTCAATTCATTTCCGTTGTGCATACGCACTCGCCTCCAACCAACACTTTACAGCACACACGCACGCACCAACATGCTATTATATATATGTATATATAAGCATGTATGTAGATGTATATATACACATGTCAAATATAGATATGTATAGAGATATATATCGGTGTGTATGTATGTGCATGAATACAAAAAAAAAAAAAAAAACAACAGTCTGCGCCTAAATGGAAGACAACAGCGGTAGCAACAACACCAACAACAACGACAACAACAACAACGACAACGCATATAAAACAAGCAGAACTATAACAACAAACAGCAGGCCTGGGGCATCCCGGCAATTTATGTGCCGAAAATATCGAAAGGGGCGACAAGTCGGGGGCAGCGGAAGATGCGTTGCAGTCGCCGTAGTCAGAGCCGTAGCCATAGCCGTAGCCGTATCCGTAGCCATGGGCACGCAGCTACTACGCAGTCTACGGTTTTGCAGCTAACGGGTATTATTACGGATGCGTGCGACACTTTTACGTTTAAATTTTAAATGCTTCAAGTCAAAAATTCAATAAATGTCTGGCATGCTGTGGGCGTGGCTCAGACAATGTTTTCCCTGCTGTCGAGTGCAACCGAAACACACCCGCACACGCACCCGCACCCACACCCGTAGCCGTAGCCGTAGCCGTAACCCGTACCCACAGAGCCGTTGCGGCTACAAATTAAACAAGCGGCAATGCCATGACCAATCCCTGCCCCGCCCCCAAGTAGCCAATGCAATTGGAATAGCTTAAAGCACCTGACCCTCAGAGCACCTCCTCCTCCCCCCCGGCAGTGCCGCCCCATCATGTTTCTTTATGCTTGTGTCGGCTAGGCTAGCATTCAGCTGGCATATTTATCGTTGCACTTTTCGATTCACAATTGAATTATGAATTATTTCAAATTACTCTCAAATATTTGATAACTGTGAGCTGTAGACAGTTTTCTTGAATTGCAAAACTGATATTTCTATAAATTATAATCAATTAAAGCTGTGTGTGTGTATATGTGTGTGTGTGTGTGTGTGTGTGTTTTATATATTATACTTAAGCTATTGACAGAGAATAGCTTTAATGAATGATCTAGTGAGAAAGGTACGACTAAAATCATAGTTTATAGAGAATTTCTGTGCACGTTAGATAATATATAATTTAAAAAAATTGTATATTTTATTAATATTTCTATTCTATTATTCTCTTCTGCTTCAAAAAAGTATATCGATAGTAAGCATCGCTCGCTCCCAGACAGGGAGTCAATCCATAAAACAAAAGATGGTCTAGACATTTATCCGTTTGTCTGTCAGCCATAAGACCTTAGAAGAATCTTGGGTTAATATTTCTATACACCTAGCTCGGTATAAGCTATTTCGATAACTTCTCCAATTTCCTTGCTATCGATTATAATCGAGATTTTGATTTGAATTTTCCTAGTACTCAAATAATAATGGATGTTTTGATATTGGAGTACACAAATAAACATATCGATTATTATCGATAACAAGGAAATTGGATGAGCTGTAGCCATATTTATAAATAATCAGCATAGTATAATTGGTATATATCGATAATCGGCACTGCTTGTGTTACAATCGCAAGGCAAAGAGCTAATCCACAAGTCGTACCATTTTTCAATATCTAATCAAATTTTCTGCTCTCAATAATAATCGACATTTTCCGTTGAGCTTTTGCAGTACTCGATAATAATCGATATTTTTTTGAGTTGCTGTGTTACTCAATTGTAATTATAAGCAGTAAAGGATAATGACATATATCGATATTTAGCAATGCTTGTATTGCCATTGCTAGGGGAGAGTCAATCCATAAATCGTATCATTCTTTCGATGGCTCTTCCAATTTCCTTGCTATCAATAATAATCGATATTTAATTTAAGTCTTTGTGGCACTTAAGTAATAATCGATATTTTGCTAGGGGGAGAGTCAATCCATGAATCGTATCATTCTTTTCGATAGCTCTTCCAATTTCCTTGCTATCAATAATAATCGATATTTAATTTGAGTCTTTGTGGCACTCAAGTAATAATCGATATTTCGATTTGAATTTTTCCTGGTATTCAAACTAAAATTTCGATTATTATCGATAACAAGGACATTGAATGAGCTGTTGCCTACTTGCACATAAGCAGCAAAGGATAATTGGAATAGCAGCTCTTCGCTCGGCTCGTACATCTTCAAGCCATGCGCTCCCAGCTCGAGCTCTCTTCCTAGCCCAGTTAGTTTCAAACTTCATCTAAAAAGTTGCTCCTTCTTTGCAGACTTATTAAACTATGTGCAACAGTGGCTTGCGAGAAGTCTAAAAAGTGTTATAGTCATTAGTAATTAAATGATTGCAGTCAGGTGTGCACGATTGCGCGATACCCTGTCGATGGACAGACATAGATGAAATTATATATTGCAATATAGAACCGTAATCGATTACACTCTTAACTGTTTTAACTGCCCCTAGTTGATGGTCTACCGTAGAGATCTGCTGATCAGA